GCACTTTTCTATGCCAGGTACCTACAGCTTCCAAACGGGCAGAAAAACAAACCCCAGGATTCTATAAAGTTTCTAAGAGCCAATAACATGAACAGCAACCAGTGTACAAGTTAAGTAGTAAAACCATCTCCATTTATGGCTACTTGAAGTTTAACACACAGCAGACTGCACTTAAGCACAGCCATCAACTTTGAGAGGAGAATCCCCATTACATTAAGCAAGGAAATGGCTGCAAGGCAGTGCTAACAATGCCAGAGGAGGTCAGAACAGGCTAAAAGAAAACCTGGAAAAGCGCAGAGTGAAAGATTGCCTCTCATTTGCTTGACTTTTTAAAATTCCGGATCATTATGAATGACAAACCTGAACTTCTTTCCTAACTTGCATGTTCTGTGCCTGGCATAGACACACTCATGGAACATTTCAAGGCTTCAGAGAAATACTAAGTGATGCCTGGTATTTAGGGTGTGAAACAGTTTGCTAACTGGAGATACTTTATATCTGCCAGGTGGTAATTATGTCAGACTGATTCTAATTTAAAGCTTTAGATATAGTGTAGCACAGCTCTAGCACATGCCATGAATGTGCAATACTATCACTCTGCAATCTTTCCTTTCATCTAGCTGTCCCTGCCACCGCATAACCTATTAACACATATCAGGTCTGGTTGTCCCAAATATGGACAAAATCCCTCTCCATTTCCACCTATACTAGAAACACTCATATGCTGTGCTCACATAAGCAGAATCTCTGAGAGTGGCTGTTGTCCAAACAACAGTGTTCACTACTCATCTACACACTGATTTGATTATTTTCAAAGGAACCAACTCACATGCATGTGCAAATCACAACTGGTTTGTATGAAATTGGTACTCAGTACATGTGCTTTTCTCTTGACAAGCCTTTTGTTGTTGTTGTTCTTTTAAAGTCCCTGATATTACAACCCAATATAACCAGTCCTAGTTTGGAGACAGTGGTCCTCAAAATGCTTCTCCAGGCGCATCTGACCTCAACATTTCACAAATTCAAGGTGGAAAAACAACACTGGGAATGTAAACCATGACTATCTTTATATGGGTACCCAGAAGAGAAGGCAGTGCCATAGCCTCAGTGCACACCACTAATCTTGGCCAGTTTGAGAAGTACAAATCAGAAGGGTGGGGAGGTAGAGGTAGTTGCGGAACTTCAGATGGTTACAAACCTAAGCCCTCATAAGATATGCTCAGCCACATATCATATACAACACAAATAATGGGTTGAGCAATCATTGTCACACCTGCAAATCATCTTTGCTATATACCATGAACTAACAACAAGAGGCAGCAACCCTAATACTGCCACCTGCCCCTAAGTACTACCTTGCTGAAGGGCTCCTGCAATGGTGGGGAAAGGTGCCTTGTCAACTATCTCTTTTTTCCCTTCCTTGCATTTAATTCCAGGAAGTCAGCGGTCTGAACTAAGTTGATCATGTCTGTATGAATCACCCTTGCTGCAGTACATTTCTGATGGAGGAGCTTACACAGCTGATTATGTAACTAACCTCTGACCACTCATTTTTGATTTTTTTATTGCCCAAACTTAGGACCATTGCAGATCATTACTCCCTAATCAGAGGTCAAGAAGAAGGAAGAGATTGTGGCTGATGATTTGGTGGTGACATAAAAGAGTACTATTCATTCAACCATTTTCATACATTTTATCACCTAAGTGATCCCATTGCTCATTAATACAGATACTCACAAATGTTCAAGTTTTGCCTGGTGCTTTCAAGCCAACAGCTCCATCACAGAATTGACATCACAGAAAACCAAGTCCCAGCTGGTCTCTCCTAAATCACTCATCTTGACACCTCAGTGCCACTTCCCACATGCACCTGTAACTATCCCAGCATCTGACTTCCACTATTCACTCTCACTGTTTCCTCATGAGGTACCTGAAGTTAAAACTCAATCTGCTGAGAGGCTGCCACACCCACAGTGCCATCAAACATGTTAAGAAAACTCCTCTGCCAGAATTTTGTGCCTCTGTGCTCAGGTTCATGAAAGAAGTGCTGGAAAGACACGCCTACACATTTAAATGCTGCCATGAATCTGCAGTCTAAGAACTTGACCTGAGAATCTTGAGCAGTGTATTAGCTCTTAGTTTACATGTGGTTCCTTAGACATGGGTCCAGCATTCCTATTTCTTAAAGTATGAAATTCCAAAACTGCTTAACTGTTCAGATAGATGTGCCACAAAATAAGTAGCAGTACTTGTAAGAATTAATCCAATTTGTGCCATTTTGAACCACTATTCATCGTACCCTCCAGTGTCTTCTGGGAAAGAATGCATGAGATACATTCAACTATAAATATACTACCAGAGTTAATTAATGTTCCTCACTTTAGTAGTATCCTTTAAAATTTACACAATTACAAATTTTCCTTAAGTCTTCCTGTTTGTTGTCTCTGCTAGAAATCTCATAGTTAAATTATAAGCTCATTGTCAGAAAACCAGTGGGCTTATATGGCTAAGATCAGTATCACAACCTCCTTTTTTTGCCTTTTCTGTCCTACTGTAAATCTTCCTTTTATTCTAAGCCACACCACATCCTTTCAGAAAGGTTATTAGCTTAACTTTACCAAGTAACACTAGTCTATGAACAATGCTGAAAGTAATTCCATAATCTATTATCATAAATCAAAAACACCTCATCAATTCAAGGAAAACACACTGAAGGATAAATATAAAAAGATGAATGTAAAAATGTTCAGTATAATAATTTTTATTATAAATTTCTATTACTATTTTAGATGCTGATCAAATATAAAGGTGGTGCATTTGAGATATATTCTATAATGCTGACAATTTTTCAGACATAAATGAACAAGATTTTTTAAATAAGCCCAACTAGAAATGTCTTTAAAATCAAGTTTAAACTGTAAAAGGCCATCAGAAATGGTTCAATGAGTCTACCCAAATTATCTTGTAATTACTTTATCTGTTATATATGCTTTCTCCCTGACTTTGGCTGATTTACTTCAGTTGCCTGGTTTTAATTGGACTTAAAGCTTCAATAAAACCGAAAAGTTCACCTTAGAAAACTAGTTGCTCTGAAAAAAATAAAAACCTTCACAAAGCTGGTGAAATCGGAAAAGACCCCCTAAAATTTACCCTGAAATGTGGCCCCTTAAAGTTCCCTAGAAATGCTATCTGGTGTGCCACATGCGCTACATGTATAGCCATCATTTATTGTACACATAATTATCTTCTCCTTCAGCTTAGGATAGTCTTAATCCTTGTGTATATCAAGTCTGTATGGGATTGTCCTGGGATTTACAACAGATTACCCAGCACCTTATGAAAATAATTTACTGTACCATGCGTGTCTCACATAAAGTAAATCAATGGCTTACATATAAAGGCATCTCATTTAGACAGTGCAGACATAAGCAAAGATCTGCCTCCTGCTTTCCTTGAACATTAAGATAGAAAATATTGTAAAGCAGTGCTTATCTGAAAGCTGATTTAGTGGATGGAACTCCTTGATTTCAAACTGGGAGACATAAAGCTGGAGCTGGCATCAAGCTGAATGAAATACCGAGGATAAGGTGGTATAAGTGATAGCCCACGAGGGGTGGGACGTCCATTTGTTAAGCTATTGACGGGTGTATTTCTATAGCACCTGTGTATTATCACGGGCTTGAGGAGTTGAACAGGGCATTCGGTTCTGACACTGAGCCCAAAGGAGCCATCCATCCTTCCTGCCCTGCTCCTTTAAGAAGCCTAAACCAAAGCTACAAACATTTCTGCCATTAGCCATTGTTAGAAATATAACTTTTAAAAAGTTTATAAAAAGAGAACAAACTTCAGGCATTCTCAGTCTATCACTGCAACACATCTTAAAACTAAAACCGAAAACAAGCTATCATTATAAAAGTCTCATAATAAGGAAGTTACATTCATCACCAATTATGGAGTTACCAAATCCCGGAAGTATGTGAAAGCCAGACTAACAGTTTGCTCTTGTAGATTATAAGGCAACTTCTCAAACATGATGCCACCTAGGATAACATTAATGGTGCCAAATGAAACTAATTATAGGTCCTATCATTGCCCTTGTATGGTAGTTGATCTAAGCATATTTATTACTGCTGTCTTGTATGACTAGCAAAAATTGTGCTAGATAATATGGAAGACATTTATTAGCTCTACAAGTATTCAATGAGTGCCTGCCATGTGCCCTGCTTTCTGCAAAACACTGGTCTGTCATAAAATTACCTAAACCTCAAAGGTGTCTTGATTTTGTAAATAAAGAAGCATAAAAATGAAAGCAGACCCTCCCATCTCACCTCCCACAGGGCGCCTGTTTGTGACCCTAGGACTACAAGTACACAGGTTTGTCTTGCTTTTTCCCCAATGAACTGAATAGACTTTAACATAATAGGTTGAATGATCTCCTAGCCCCACATTAACCTATTATTGGAAACTAAAAGATTCTGACTGTGCTGCAATTAAATCTAACAAAAGCTCTTTTTTTTTTTCCAAAATCTTTCTTTCAAATGCTGCCTGTGTCTTGTTTAAAAAAAAAAAAAAGGAAGCAATTTTCTATTTTTAAACTACTCTTAAGTGGTTCCTTTAAGGAATGAGTAAGAGCTTACTGAAGGATGAGATTCATACTATGGTAAAATTGGATTGTGATTAGGAGTGAAATCTCATCATGCAGGCTGGCCTTACACAGAAAGACAAGTCTACAGAGCACACAGTCACCACAGCTCACTAAGACACCCTTGGTTGGGGGTGGGGAGCAAAAGCTACAATACAGCATGGACTATGTATGGTGTAATCGAAAGTTGCAGGAAACTGGTCCAAATGCAAAGGGATGGCCAGAAGAGATGGTCTAAAAGCCTGGGAAATTAGCTCAAATGCAACCAAAGCTTGCAGAATGGAAATCCAACCCTAGGTGTTATTGATGCCAAGAGGGGTGCGCCTCAGGAAGCAGCATGCTCACTAAGAAACCTTACCTGGAGAACTGCTGCTGCAGACTGCGCATCTGAATCCTGTTGCGTTCAGACTCCAGGGTCACCTCCTGCAACCGCTTCTCACTTTGAAGACGTAACTGTCTCTCCTCCTCCAATTCATGGATCAGCTTCTCATGCTGGGAAAAGCACAGAGGGAGTGACTTTTAAGATGCTAATGTCAAAAAAACGATTAGCAACACCTGTTGATTAATAAGTGCTAACTTGAGTTTACATATATAAATTTCATTATTACAGCAACCCCATGAGACAGGCTCTCATATTAATCTTTTGTTTTAAAGTAGGCAACCAAGAATCAGAGCTACCTGAGCACTTTATGCAAGGCCATATAAACCAGAAAGTAACAGAATTTGAGTCCTACCTGAATTAACTCTAATGTTGAACAATTTCTACTAAATCAGGGAAGAACTATGACTCTAAAATACTATCAAATGCCTGGCCGGCGCCGCGGCTCACTAGGCTAATCCTCCGCCTAGCGGCGCCGGCACACCGGGTTCTAGTCCCGGTCGGGGCGCCGGATTCTGTCCCGGTTGCCCCTCTTCCAGGCCAGCCCTCTGCTGTGGCCAGGGAGTGCAGTGGAGGATGGCCCAGGTGCTTGGGCCCTGCACCCCATGGGAGACCAGGAAAAGCACCTGGCTCCTGGCTCCTGCCATCGGATCAGCGCAGTGCGCCGGCCGCGGCGGCCATTGGAGGGTGAACCAACAGCAAAGGAAGACCTTTCTCTCTGTCTCTCTCTCTCTCACTGTCCACTCTGCCTGTCAAAAAAAAAAAAAAAAATACTATCAAATGCCAATCATCAGATGGGAACTATTGCCTGTACAGAATTATTTCATCTCTGCTATCTCTGGTATATGTTTTAAAGGGAATAATATTATCTTTATCGAACAACCAAGAATTTCGAGTTTATTAGACCATGTACTGATCAAATTAATGCTAAAGTTTTAATTTTCCCCTTTCAGGCTTTTAAAGATGGAAACAGACTGAACCATCCAATGTTTTTATAATCCCAGGAACCAGCTCATCTCATGGATGGGCATCAGATTCCAACACCAGCTGAATGATCTAGAACAGAAGGCTCAGTACAAACTCACCCCTGGAAGCGGTGCAAGCACATCCTTGAGAATCTCCTCTTTACTGACTCAACTACACTAGAATCTTTTTGTTTAGATTTTGTTCTATTTTTGTTATTGCTGTTCTTTAAGACTTATCATACTGTTTTGGAAATTGCTATTACTAAATTAAGTAATAGCAATTTGCAAACAAGATAAATGTTCTATGGTAAAAACCAAAGATACAATGCCAGATTGTGAAGGACATGTATTGTCTTAAAGGCAAAGTGGAGAAACAGAAACCTGTCTTGAAATATATGAAACTCTGACTCCATGGCAGGGGTTACAGGGGATTAACTATGATCCTTTGCAAGGGACATATTCACAAGAAGTGATAGCAAGGATGGATTTTCTCCAGCTCTAACTCATGGAGAAAAGTTACCCTGAAGGCCAGGAAGGAAACATTTGCGATATACAAATGAATCACTATACTCTACAAATACATATCATGCTGTCTCTGTACCTTTGACTATGCCCTTAAAACCATCTGAGTTTTCTCTATCAAAAGCCTGGGGCTCCTTGCAGGCTCAGCTTTAAGCCATGCCTTCCAGCACTTTCCCCTCATCATTTCTTCATTATTTCTCTCTTTTGTTCTAAGGGCTGCTACAACTTCACTGTTTCTATTTATTTCTGCGAATTTATTATAATTCTCATAATTTACCCTAACTCCCTAAACAGATACTTATTTGGGATTAGGACTAGGCCTTATTTGCAATTGTAAATCACATTTTTAGCACATTTAAAGTCATATCTGAAATATATTTGCTGGTGATTCTGGAGCTGACCTTTTGCCAAATTAGCCCAACTCCTTGAAGGTCCATTTTTAACATCCATAATCAGTAACTTTATCACCATCAGAAAAAAATAAATGAAAATCCAACCTTTATTCTGTGATTTATGAAAAGTGACATTCTAGAAACTTTAGAAACAAAGAGAAAGGCAATCGGGAAAGAAATGTACTAATTTAAGTCAACAGTGTAGAACTGTTTTAAGTAGAATATTTTATACATTTTGCCACAATAAAAATTAAACATTTTATACTATAATTGCATGTAATTAAGATTCCTCTCTGTACCAACTCAAAAGAGTAGAAGGGACATCAACAAATATTGCATATTGCATATTTTGGAAGATTGCATGCTGATTTCAGAATAAGCAAAAAAGAAGTGAGATGATGTATAGGCCCAAAACACCTGCTATGAAGGATATGAAGTTTCCATCAAAAGTACAGCATGCAACATTGATTCACTCATGGCCACACTGAAGACTCCCCAAAATCTAATGAGGCAGCAGACCCTTTTCACCCGAGTAATCCTCTGTTCTTTATGTTGATTCCTTTCCAAATGCCAAAACCAATAACCCTTTTCAAGCATAGGAAGTTCTAGGAAATTAAAAGTATGAAGGCAAAAATGGTTTACTAAACTATAGTCCCTTCAAATTGTGCTTCAATTAACCCAAAGCTTGCCAAGAATTCATACCTTTTTTTCCCCAAACACAGAAAATCTTTTACTCAACTTTTTAGTGTATGTGCTGCCTAAGAGAGCAGTTACCCAATTTTTTAAATGCATGGCTAAATGTAGAAAGAGATGGTATCAATGGATTAACAAGTTTTTGAATTAATTGTATTCCAAAACATAGATTGACTTTCCCCAAAATAAGTTTGACTTTTCTCCCACAGATTTTTTTCTGGATTTTTTTTTTTTTTGAGAAATATGTTTATTTTTTTTTTTTAAACTTTTATTTAATGAATATAAATTTCCAAAGTACGACTTATGGATTACAATGGCTTTCCCCCCATACCGTCCCTCCCACCCACAACCCTCCCCTTTCCCACTCCCCCTCCCCTTCCATTCACATCAAGATTCATTTTCGATTATCTTAATATACAGAAGATCAGCTTAGTATACATTAAGTATGGATTTCAACAGTTTGCTCCCACACAGAAACATAAAGTGAAAAATAATAGATGATTTTTTAAAATGATGATGAAATCAGAGCAGACCTATTGTCATGGTTATTTCCTTGGAGAGTCAAAGTGGGAATTGGAAATTTCCTTTTTTATTTTTTTTTGTCGAGGGGTACCAGAGGATCAGTTTAGTATGCATTAAGTAAGGATTTCAACAGTTTGCACCCCCATAGAAACACAAAGTGAAATATATTGTTTGAGTACTCGTTATAGCATTAAATCTCAATGTACAGCACATTAAGGACAGAGATCCTACATGAGGAGTAAGTGCACAGTGACTCCTGTTGTTGACTTTACCAATTGACACTCCTGTCTATGGCATCAGTAATCTCCCTATGCTCCAGTCATGAGTTTCCAAGGCTATGGAAGCCCTCTGAGTTCTCCGATTCTTATCTTGTTTAGACAAGCTCATAGTCAAAGTGGAGGTTCTCTCCTCCCTTCAGAGAAAGGTACCTCCTTCTTTGATGGCCTGTTCTTTCCACTGGGATCTCACTCGCAGAGATCTTTTGCCAGAGTGTCTTGGCTTTCCATGCCTGAAATACTCTCATGAGCTTTTCAGCCAGCTCCGAATGCCTTTAGGGCTGATTCTGAGGCCAGAGTGCTATTTAGGACATCTGCCATTCTATGAGTCTGCTGAGATTCTCACTTCCCATGTTGGATCACTCTCCCCTTTATTTACTCCATCAGTTAGCGTTAGCAGGTACTAGACTTGTCTATGTGCTCCCTTTGACTCCCAGTCCCTTCACCATGACCAACTGTGAACTGAAACTGATCACCTGGAACAGTGAGATGGCATTGGTACATGCCACCTCGATGGGATTGAATTGGAATCCCCTGGTATGCTTCCAGCTCCACCACTTGGATTTTTTTAAACACAGCAACAGGGAATGAAAGACAGAAAATGAGTGGTGTTGTTTATATAGTGCTCCTGGATATCCCAAGAGCAGTGAGTCAAAGAGTCACAGACATCTGAGGTCCAAATCTGTTAGGGTTTAACTACCAGAGCACCAACTCTTTCCATGGAACCACTGAGCTTTAAGAAGACATCTTAAGAGGAACTCTAACACAGAGTTTCTCCAAAAATCACTGGTTATCAATTACCTTTCTATTTCCCCCACTTTCATTTAGCAAGATCCCCTTCTTTCCTCTCTCCTCACTGCAGTCTCTTATCACTGCACTCTAATCACTGCCCCAAGAATACCAACAACAGCCCAAAGGCTGAGTCTAACAAGTGACAATAAACAGTCACAGGAACCTTTGCCAATCACAACCCCTCCTTTTCTGTAGAGACATTTTTGCTGTTATTCAAAACACAGATTTGCAGATTTCTCTGAATAAAAGCTGTGAGTAGGTTAACTTTCAACCCTTGTGTTTTCTTAGCTGGCGCTTCTAATTCTGAAATACACAAATTCTTCAAAAAAAATTCTACATTTGGAGAGAAGTGAATTAACTGAATTTAAAAAAAAAACAGCTATAAGTAAAACACTTAAATGTTTAGCCATTTAACACATTTAAAACCTATCCACCATTTTTATTATGTTCTATCCTTTTTTTTTTTTTTATTTGACAGGTAGAGTTATAGAGAGAGAGAGAGACAGAGAGAAAGGTCTTCCTTCTGCTGGTTCACTCCCCAAATGGCTGCTATGGCCAGTGCTGTGCCAATCCGAAGCCAGGAGCCAGGTGCTCCTTCCTGCTCTCCCATAAGGGTGCAAGGCCCAAGCACTTGGGCCATCCTCCACTGCCCACCCAGGCCACAGCAGAGAGCTGGACTGGAAGAGGAGCAACCAGGACTAGAACCAGTGCCCATATAGGATGCTGGCACTGCAGGGGGAGGATTAACCAAATGAGCCATGGCGCTGGCCCCATTCTATCCTTTTTTTATTGACTTGTCATTGACAAAATTTTGAGTATTGTGCCTCTAGTCCCAGTTCCCCATAAACCGTGTAGTTTCCTTTGTGTGGCTTTGCAGAGGGCAATGGGTTTTAGAGACATATGGGATTCCACTTGTACATCATGGTGGGAAAAAAGTAAACCATAATCAGGA